CCCCAAAACCCCAAAACCCCAAAACCCCAAAACCCCAAAACCCCAAAACCCCAAAACCCCATTCAAGACAAATAATTTTGAAAAGTTATATTTAATAATGGAAGAAACATTCGAAGTTGACGTAGATGAAGTCATTGATGAGCTCTTGGGGGTTCGTGGCTGAAGGCCAGGCAAACTAGCACTCAATAATGTCACAGAAGAACAAATCAAAGGGATCTGCCTCAAGGTTAGAGAGATACTAATGGACCAGCCTTGATTTTTGGAGTTGAGCGCTCCTTTAAAGGTAATAGGGGATACTCATGGGCAATACTTTGATCTTCTCAGGCTCTTTGAGTACGGAGCATTTCCTCCTGAGTCTAATTACCTCTTCCTCGGAGACTACGTTGATAGAGGAAAGCAGTCACTTGAAACAATTTGCTTATTGTTTTGCTATAAAATAAAGTATCCTGAAAATTTCTTCCTCCTTAGAGGGAATCATGAGTGCTCATCTATTAATAAGATATATGGGTTTTATGACGAATGCAAGAGGAGATACTCTATCAAGCTCTGGAAAATATTCTCTGATGTTTTCAACTGCCTCCCAGTGGCTGCACTTATCGAAGAAAGGATTCTCTGAATGCATGGAGGGCTTTCTCCTGAGCTCAAGAATTTTGATCAAATAAGAAGTCTTTATAGGCCAAGTGAAATCCCAGACACAGGTCTCATGTGAGACTTGTTATGGTCAGACCCAGAGAAAGGATGCAAGGGCTGGGGTACAAATGAGAGAGGCATCAGCTTTGTTTTCGGAGAGAAGATTGTAGACGAGATATGAGAGAACCTTGATATCGATCTCATATGCCGTGCTCACCAGGTCGTGGAAGATGGATATGAGTTTTTCAATAATCGAAAAGTAGTCACTGTATTCTCAGCTCCAAATTACTGCAATGAGTTCGATAACTCTGCTGCAATCATGACAATAGAGGAAGACCTCACTTGCAGCTTCAAAATATTGCAACCTGCTGAGAAGCTGAAGAAGTATCAAGGAAAGGGGAGGCCTTCGACTCCAATATAATCCCTAGAATTAATTTATATTAAAATTCTAGCTAAACACCAGCATTAACTAGGCCTCACATTCACAGTGTGCATTCTCGATACTTTGGACAAAAAGTAGTGTTAATAGTTCAACTGAGTGAAACTAAAAAGGGGTTTTGGGGTTTTGGGGTTTTGGGGTTTTGGGGTTTTGGGG